TACAACTCTGAATGTAATCACCGCACCTATGCTAAATCATGGCAAAGGTATCAACGTTATTGAAGATACTGCTTTTGTTTCCTCTGTTAATGACTTGACCACTCTGCTGAAGTTGGTTAAAAACAATTTGTTGAAAGATGGGGTTTTCCCTGGTTGCCTTGAAGGTTGTTGTTGATGTGTTGTGCAAATCAATGGCTGTGAATGGCTAAAAAGAGGTGTCCAACACCTAATGAATAGCCATGAGATCCTATTCGAAAGAACTCCATCTGTAAAAAGTTTGATTGAAATAGTATCTCAAGAAGTTGAAGACATATCCATCATCACTATCTCCAACAAACCTATTAGGATCACTTCAAAAGGTCCTATTAGACTTTCCAATGAACCGAAGATAGCTCCATTGATAATTAGCACACTGAGGCCAGTCCCTTAATCTTCCGATAAGGCGGTACCTTGGTGTTGTACCCTAAGATTTTCCCTCTCATTTCTCAAAGGATCATCCTGGACCCTTAAGTTTGCTTCTATCAAGTTTCAAGTCTTGGATTACAATTTTTCAAGAAAGTCATTCACAAGGACATAATGGTCAAAAGCACACTGAAAAGTCAAACTTTGACTTTTGGATCAAAATCAAGTTTCAACCATCATATTTCATCAGGACAGGAAATTGGTTCATCAAGAAATCAAAAGTCAGAAATTATTTTTAAAAAAAGTCAAATTTCTAAACACTTAGAAAATTTTCTGTTAAGAAAGTATGATAATTTCAGAAATTCTAGGCCATTTTTCACACAAGTGCAATCAGAATTTACAAAGATGATTCAGAACATGACTCTTCGATCAGAACATATGGAAGTTGTGTTCTTCGAACATAACATGACTCTTCAAATCTAATTTTTCAGCATATGGAGACTATGTTCTACTCTTCGATCAGAACATCACCCTCTGAATCTCACTCTGGTCCTTCCACTCTTCGATCAGAACACCACCAAGCCCCAAAACCTCGTTTTGAACAGTCTGCTGCACTGCTATGGCACAGTCCTGCATCCAGCGGCCACAACACTCCATATTGCTGCTGATCTAGTCCACACCTGCATTTTCTCAAACCTCATATTTGCACCAAATTAACACATAAAATCTGTATTTAAAAAGAAATGAAACAGTGTGCCAAAAAGGTTCAAATCCCATTTGTTTCCCCCCCAAAACCACAACAAACTCATCTATAAATAAGTTGTTCCACCACACGTCTAAGGGGATGGATTTTGGGAGGAGAGAGTTATCAAATACAAAAAGAGAGAAAAGAAACATTCAAACATTCTTAAACCCAGAATACTCAAAATAATACTTTTGTTCCTCCCTTTGAATCAAAGAACATAACATTTCTGTCCCGTTTCTTGCTGACCCCAAAACATTCGAAGGCAGCAGCTCAAGTCCCAAACACACGCCTCAGATTCAAGGTAAGTCATCCTAACATTGAACTTTTCATTCAGAACATCATTAAAAATATAGATATCATAGTGTTGAGACTGTATATGCCATTGCCTAAGTAGAAAATTATGGATCAGAACTTCTCGAAGAAAACTAGGCTCAGAATTAGGAACAGAACTTCTATAAATTGTCGTGTTTTTATTTTTCTGTTTTGCTGTTGTTGAGAACTGAATAAGTTGCAGATGCTCTGGCTAATGCAAGGAATGAGGTGAAGTGTAACACAAAACTTCTAGGTGTTTTTCTTACTGTTGTATCACAACACACAAAACTTCTAGGAGTTTTTCTCACTGTTTTAACACAACACATGACTTTTGAGTTTTTCTCACTGTAGTAACACAACACACAGAATTTCTAGGTTTTTCTCACTATTTTAACACAACACAAAACTTCTGAGTTTTCTCACTGTTCTAACACAACACACATAACTTCTGAGTTTTTTCTCACTGTTGTAACACAACACACATAACTTATAGGTTTTTCTCACTGTTGTAATACACCAGAACTTATAGGTTTTCTTAATGTTGTAATACACCAGAACTTCTAGGTTTGCCTCACTGTCTTCACATCCAGAACTTCAGCGTGCAACAACCCATAATTTCTGGTTTCCTCTAACGTTTCTTTCTGAACTACGGCGTGCCTAGCATCAGAACTTCTGATCCCTCTCATTTTTGTTTTCAGCAACATGATGGTCCTGTTTTCGTCATTTTTCCTTTTCTTTCTTATTCTTATTATTTTCAGCGTTAATACTATTTTTATTAATATAAAAAAACATAAAAAATATTTTCCTTTTATTAACTAATTATTTTTTCTTTTTATTTTATTAAGACAAACTGCAAGATATAACAGTAGGCAAACTGCAAGAAAGGGGGAGAGATCAAAAAACTCAGAATTTTATCAAAATAAAAAACTGTCAAAACTCCAAAAATCTCAAACAGTTCATTCTGAAACTTCAAAACCAAAGTCTCCACTGTCAACAAAATGCCAACCATCTCAAACTCATAAAATTTGTTAACTCAACAGACAGCCAGAACCCTCAAACCAACCTTCAAAAAATATTGTCAAACTCACAAAACCAAAAAACTGCATAACCAAAAAAAACCTCCACAATACATCCCAACCTGTTAACTCAACATACAATAGCAACAAAACCAAAGGCAACCAAAACCTATTAACAAATATCCCAAGCTTAATCTCAAGGCCACAAACATAACCATAAAAAACATCCAAATCCAAACAGTTCAAACTGAACTGTAACAAGCAAAAAAAAAAACCCAGAAGAAATATACTCAACCAAAACCTGTAAAAACAGTTCAAGCCAAGCTTCTAGAACTGCCCAAAACCATCCCAACATCCCAACATTCCATAAACATCATCAAACCGACAGCAACAAATCCCAGAACCAGTAAAAAGCATTCCAACAATATCAAACCAGAGACTGTCAAAACCAGCAATCACCAACCATTCTCAAAAACATTTCCAAACCCAAAACCTCAAAAACTGTTAAGGTCCAAAACTAGTAAACCCCAAGTTTTCAAAACATACAAACCAAAAATCACAAAAAAACCTCAAGCTGAAACACAACCTGCAAAACTGTAAAACCATTTCAACAGTTCATAACCCAAAAATTTCAAACACAACATCCAACAGTCAAAGGCACAATAACATCATCACAGAAAAACAGAAGTCCCAGCATCATCATCATCATCATTCAACAAAGAGGATAGAAAAAGGTTACCAGAAACCCTAGCATTTTCGTCATCATCTCTTTCCCCTCGCCAATTCCGCCACCAAGGAGCATTTCCTTCGATCTCACCGTCCCCGTCCACTTCACAGAAAAGCTCTAAGCAGGTATGGTTTCTTCAAACTATTTACTCATCTCAAATGAATAACCAGTAGATTAACAGAAGAGCATGAACAAGACAAAAAAAATGATAAAACTGTAAGCTTTAAACAAAACAGAACTTAACCTTTTTTTCAAGAAACAAAACCACTGAAAATCGTTAGGAGTTGAGAGAAAGAGAGCTCCGGCAACAGAACCTTGGGGGGGAAGATCAGAATAAGCTATAATCGAACATATTAGGCATGAATCCGACCTTAGGATTTTCATAGAATCGCGAATCGTGTTGAGATGAGGAGAGATTAGGGAGTTTCGACCATGAGCTTAAGAGTTTGAGAGATTTCAGAGGTGGAAAGATGAACGAATATGGAAGAGATGGATGAGAGGGACGAACGGCGCCACTCTGTACCAAGGGTTCACAAACCCTAATTTCTTTGTTTACCCTAATCAAAACAATTATGCAAGAGTTAGAGCTTTGGGCCTGCCTTACCACATAACCCTTTAAGCCCACGAAATTGCTAGTCTTTACCCCCCCTTTGCCTGTTGCTTTGTTTCAGCATCAATACTAATTCCTCTTTGGGCCTAACACCCCAATTCACCCAAGCCCATTGTTTTTGTTTTTAATTTGCTTCCTACTTTTGTTTTATTACTAACTAAAATACAAAACACTTTTTTTTGAGTTAAATCTTGAAAATCAATTTTCATTTTTTTTATATAACTTATTTTTATTAATTTTCTTACATTTAATAAAACACAAAAAAAAAAAAGAATTAACTTAGCTTATTTTCTTTCTTTAAAATTAGTTTACATAATTAATAAAATACACAAAATATTAATAAAGATTCAAATCAATTCTTTTTTTTAGAATAAGTCTTATATAGAGTAATAAATAAAAGTGTAAGTTATTTTCAATGTATCAGTAATAAATAAAAGTCAAGTTCAACATGATCGACATATCCAATAAATATAGAGTAGTCATTGGGCCCTCAAGAAAACACTTCATCTATGTGCACAAACGACTCTGTCGAAGCCGGAACAATAATTTCTATCTCAAATAGAGGAGTAACCTCCATATACTAGTGCATAAATAACATTAGAATTATTCACATATAACCTATTTTTTTTAAAAAAAGTATACAATTCATATGTAATAGCAATTTTGTAATTAAAAATAAAAAGTTAAATTTTAGAATTAACCATTAACACCGTATGTTTAGGAAAACATGTGATAAATGATAATCAAATTTAAAACAAATAACTTGATTTTATATTAGATATCTGATTTTAACAAAATCAAGTATAAAAAAAAAAAAGTGACAAATCATGTATTTATATCCATACCTGATTTTAGGAAAAATAAATTTAAACTAAATTATGCCCATGAATGTAATTAACCAAATAAAATTTTCTTGACCAATCATATTACTCAATGCAATTAAGTGGCACAATGGTTGTAGGGGAAATAAGCACTCAAATGAAAAGTACACTCTTTTTACCCGAGTAAAACAAAGTTTGAAATTCAAAAGACAGTTTGAAAGAACCCTTTTTTCTCCATCTATCATAAACTTATTGATCTAATTTCCCTCTCTCGTCTCTCCCGTTACAGCAAATCTCTCACTCTTCTTGAATTCTAATTTTTACACGCAGCAGAAGCACCACATCCAGAGAGAAGAACCCTAAGAAGATGATGACCACGTTCAAGAAAAACAGGAAGAAGAGAGGCCATGTCAGCGCCGGTCATGGTCGTATCGCAAAACACCGTAAGCATCACGGAGGTCGCCGTGACAATGTAGGTATGCACCACCACCGAATCCTCTTCGACAAGTACAATCCAGTTATTTCGGTATGATCGGTATGTGTTGCTTTCATAAGCTTCGTAACAAATTCTATTTCCTCATTTCAGGTTCAAGTTCTTTGTTTTCACTTCCGTATTGTTTGCATCTACGTTTTCACTACCCATGCTCATTTAATTTTTCATGTCCTGATATGCAAATCACGGCGTCACAGAAGGCGATGGCGGTTGAAGATGTTGATTCACGGGAACCGAGATGGCAGACGGTATTGGATTCTTTTAACGAGGGAGAAGTGATTGTTGACGTGATTCGGTATTTTGTTGCTTTAGTTGCTGATTTTTTGTATCTTATTATTGTTGTAGCATGATTAAACCCCATCCCATGTTTAATTTCACCAAATGCTTGTAATCGATGGAATCAATGAAGAGGAGATTTTAGGGTTTCTGTGGGAAAGGGGTATCTATTTGATTTGCAGGTTATTTTTACTCTGACTATGCAATTTGTGTTCGGTTTAAGTTGTAGCTACAATATGCTTTTAGTCGTTTAAAGTTTTATTGCATTTTACGGTTATGTTTAATGATTTTCAGATTAACAGACTTGAGATTGTTTTGTTTTTCTGGTAATAGATTTGGATTCAAGGACGGGTATTGTTGGGGAATCGGGTTCAATGGGAAAGTGTTTATCATTCCTAACTTCAAGAGATCAATTTAGGTGATTTTTTTTCCATTACACATCAACAACCTTAATGAGGTAAATGCAGAAGAAAAACAGCTGGCAGTAGCACCTAAACAGGTTCAAAGTGCTACACATACAAGTATCTGCAAAAAGATCAATAATGCTACTGTCTATACAAATGCCTTTGGAAGACACTGATTGTGGATATGCTATAAATTGTCTATACTCCTCTGAAAGAGGTTCATGCGAAGATTCGTTAAAATTTTGGGTTACTTGATAGGAATATAGGCTTTCTTAAATTTGAGTTTCTTTCTTCTAGAACTGGCTTCTACTTTGTGGTTTGATACTACTCTAAATGATATTGATTAGAACTGGCTTCGAATACATGAAGCTAACTGCTAAAGTTCAAGTCTTGGAAAGGATATAAAGCTACGTTTTTAGATTTTGAGAATGTTCTAAAGCCATTAAAAATCAGTTTTTGAATGTTCTTATTAATATGTGACATATCTCTTATCTCTTTTAGATTATTATAGCTCAAAATCAATTTTTGAATGTTCTTATTAGTATGTGGCAGATCTCTTATGTCAATATTGGAAAGAACACACACCTTTTGGAAGTGCTTGATGATTTGTCTCATAATATTCCTGGTGATTATGAGTTGCTTTCATCCAAGAAAGTAAGAAGACCATGGTCTGAAAATCGTGTGAATATAATGCAAGTATATACTAATATGTTCCATCATGCTTTTCAGGTGAATCATGTGAATTTAATGATTTCCAGGTTCATCATGCTTGCCTGGATTCAACACCAAATAGCCACACTATACTACAACAAATTGGTTTTTATATGTTCAATCCAATACATTATTTAAGGTACATGTAACTATCTAAATTTATATAGTCTTGGCTACAACAACTTTTATTGGGAATTGCATAGTCTTGATAAGCTGAATTTATATAGTGTCTGTAATATTCTGTTTGGGGGTTGTGGTTATTTCTATTATCAGTAGTATCAGGTGATTGTATTTAGGTCCTTAGTCAAAGGGATTTTTAGAATGAGGGGTTTTGCGGTATTGTATACTGTGATTTGGCTCTGGTGTATTTGGCATATCTTATGCCTTAGCGTTTAGTTTATTAATTTATTATGCTCTTTAAAAAAAAGAAGTTATTTCTAAATTAAAAGATTGGTGATGAAGTGAGTTTGAGAAACATTGTATTTGGTAAACAAAGTCGGTTTCTTAAACATTCTATTTGGTAAACTCTCAAAAAGCGTAAAATTTTTATACGCCATTTAAATAAAATAAATGTTAGGAAAGATATCTTGACACTAACCTAAACACCTACACAGTATTAATGTACTTAAAATCTACCAAATTTTTTTTATAACTTTTCTTACTTTGATTTCCATGCAAGGCCATGTTAGTTTGCTGCTACAAAAGGCATATAGCATGTTGGGCATACTTTCTACTATGATACGCGAAAAATCCTCTCTAAACACGTTCATAATTAAAAAAAACCTTTTTGAAATCAGTTTTGAATCACAAAGATATCCATTATCCCTTCCTTTTGGGATTTAATCTTTCTCCAATCAGAATCCATTTCATTATTAATTTATAACTGCTCTCAATTTTATATCTTGTTGTGTGTTCTTGTTCCCTCTCAGAATCGGTGTCCCCACTCTGTTCTAATGCAAGTCAGGTTATCGAAACAAACCGCAAACCGTTGAGGTATTCATCTCTTTATGTTTTTCAACTATTTTAATTGTTATAAATTTCTACTCTTGTATTTTTGTTAATATTTGAAGGTGTTGAATATAAAATAACATCAGTGACCTTTATTCTTGTGGTAATTTGAGTGTAATGTTAGAAGGAAGATCTTAAATCTGCAAGATGCTTGTTTTATATTTATGTACATGTAACTTTTATCTAAGAATGTTAAAATTATGAAGGAACTTCGATAAAGAAAAGTTGTTGGTGTGATGAATCTCAACAATTGATTCATGAAAAAGTAGTTGGTGTGATGTATATCAACAATTAATACACGTAAATTTTGAGAGTATCTGTTTACAGTTTGCAATTTTTGTGTTCCCTGTCTACAAATGTAGTTTAACTTATATTGTATATTTATTCATGGAATATCTTTATAGCTTGTTTCGTTTTATGCAATATACTGATTCATGGGAAATCTTTGTTTACTATTTAATAAGTGGTTTAAGCATTGAGTTTCTTTTAGCAGGGTCAGATTAAATAAAAAAAACCTTTTTGAAATCAGTTTTGAATCACAAAGATATCCATTATCCCTTCCTTTTGGGATTTAATCTTTCTCCAATCAGAATCCATTTCATTATTAATTTATAACTGCTCTCAATTTTATATCTTGTTGTGTGTTCTTGTTCCCTCTCAGAATCGGTGTCCCCACTCTGTTCTAATGCAAGTCAGGTTATCGAAACAAACCGCAAACCGTTGAGGTATTCATCTCTTTATGTTTTTCAACTATTTTAATTGTTATAAATTTCTACTCTTGTATTTTTGTTAATATTTGAAGGTGTTGAATATAAAATAACACCAGTGACCTTTATTCTTGTGGTAATTTGAGTGTAATGTTAGAAGGAAGATCTTAAATCTGCAAGTTGCTTGTTTTATATTTATGTACGTGTAACTTTTATCTAAGAATGTTAAAATTATGAAGGAACTTCCATAAAGAAAAGTAGTTGGTGTGTTGAATCTCAACAATTGATTCATGAAAAAGTAGTTGGTGTGATGTATCTCAACAATTAATACACGTAAATTTTGAGTATCTGTTTACAGTTTGCAATTTTTGTGTTCCCTGTCTACAAATGTAGTTTAACTTATATTGTATATTTATTCATGGAATATCTTTATAGCTTGTTTCATTTTATGCAATATACTGATTCATGAGAAATCTTTGTTTACTATTTAATAAGTGGTTTAAGCATTGAGTTTCTTTTGGCAGGGTCAGATTGAATAAAAAAAACCTTTTTGAAATCAGTTTTGAATCACAAAGATATCCATTATCCCTTCCTTTTGGGATTTAATCTTTCTCCAATCAGAATCCATTTCATTATTAATTTATAACTGCTCTCAATTTTATATCTTGTTGTGTGTTCTTGTTCCCTCTCAGAATCGGTGTCCCCACTCTGTTCTAATGCAAGTCAGGTTATCGAAACAAACCGCAAACCGTTGAGGTATTCATCTCTTTATGTTTTTCAACTATTTTAATTGTTATAAATTTCTACTATTGTATTTTTGTTAATATTTGAAGGTGTTGAATATAAAATAACACCAGTGACCTTTATTCTTGTGGTAATTTGAGTGTAATGTTAGAAGGAAGATCTTAAATCTGCAAGTTGCTTGTTTTATATTTATGTACGTGTAACTTTTATCTAAGAATATTAAAATTATGAAGGAACTTCCATAAAGAAAAGTAGTTGGTGTGATGAATCTCAACAATTGATTCATGAAAAAGTAGTTGGTGTGATGTATCTCAACAATTAATACACGTAAATTTTGAGAGTATCTGTTTACAGTTTGCAAGTTTTGTGTTCTCTGTCTACAAATGTAGTTTAACTTATATTGTATATTTTTTCATGGAATATCTTTATAGCTTGTTTCTTTTTATGAAATATACTGATTCATGAGAAATCTTTGTTTACTATTTAATAAGTGGTTTAAGCATTGAGTTTCTTTTGGCAGGGTCAGATTGAATAAAAAAAACCTTTTTGAAATCAGTTTTGAATCACAAAGATATCCATTATCCCTTCCTTTTGGGATTTAATCTTTCTCCCATCAGAATCCATTTCATTATTAATTTATAACTGCTCTCAATTTTATATCTTGTTGTGTGTTCTTGTTCCCTCTCAGAATCGGTGTCCCCACTCTGTTCTAATGCAAGTCAGGTTATCGAAACAAACCGCAAACCGTTGAGGTATTCATCTCTTTATGTTTTTCAACTATTTTAATTGTTATAAATTTCTACTCTTGTATTTTTGTTAATATTTGAAGGTGTTGAATATAAAATAACACCAGTGACCTTTATTCTTGTACCTTTAACATGCCTACAAGTATGATTTTTCAACCACCCTTAACTCCACCTATTTTCAAATACCTTCCTGAAGGTTTTTCTTCTTTTATTTTGCAGTCTTTCAGCCACATTAAAAACATAATATCCAAGGCTAGCATAATTGTTCCTTTGAGATCCTATAATAATCCTCTTTACTTTATCATGAATCAAATGATAATCAAAGACCTCTGTAGTCATTCACTCAATAATACTAGTATCCATAGTAGGAAACTTCATCTCAAACTGAATTTTCTCCATTATAGTTTCTCCCTTACTTTTCACTATTCTCCCTCTGGAGAAATTCTCTACCAACCAAGTTGTTTTAACCTCAACTCTTCCCCAAAAACTCAATAACAAATCAACGGTAACATGCATTTTTATCCTTTGCTTTCTGCAAAATTCATTATACTTCTCTGAAACTTTCTCAAGGCATTCACAACACCTTAAACTCAAATCCCATAGTTCTTCCTTGTCATGAAAGTCTCCACTAGTTAATGTTGAATGAACAACATTTGAACCTTCTAAAATATATATGTCACATATTTTAGACCCTTTAGCAATAATCATTTCATCACGCGAAATCTGTAACACTCCATGTTCAATTCTATTACAATAGCCCAGATCATCAAACATATTTATAGATAATAAATTTCGCTTGAGTTCTGGAACATACCTCACATTGTGAATAAAAAGTTCACGATCATCAAACATTTTAAGTCTGACCGTACCAATACCATGAACCTTGCAAGCCTTATTATCACCAAGACGAATAACTCCACCTTGAACCATCTTCAAAGTTTCAAAGTCTTATATTCTTGGACACATGTGATAAGAGAAACCTGAATCAATAAATCAACTATCTTTAGTTTCCAAACTCGATACTACTAGTACATCAACATCCTCATAACTTTCCTCACCTAAGGCAATTGCAGCTTGAACAGAATCTTCATTGACCTTTCTCTCAGGACAATCCCTTTTAAAGTGACCGATTTTCTAACAATTAAATTTTTTTACCTTTGACTTGTTAGACCTCTTTGATTTGTACATCCCTTTAAACTCACCTCCTCCTCTTGACACATAACCTTCACCACTATCTTCAATTTTCAAATCTTTCGCTTTTGAAAATTCTTTGGATTTCACTGCCGTCTGTGCTTCATCTAAAGTAATAATACCCTATTTACCACAAAGAAGGGTGTCTTAAAGTGCTTAAAGGATTTGGGTAATAAAATCAACAAGAGAAAAGCCTTGTCCTCATCATCAATCTTCACTTCGATATTCTCAAGATCATCAATAAACTTGTGAAATTCTGTAGGTTGCTCAACTATGAATTTGTGCTCTACCATTCAAAATGAATAGAGTTGTTGTTTCACATACAACCCGTGAGCCAAAGACTTTGTCATATACAAGGATTCATGTTTTACCCACATAGCAACTGCAGTTTGCTCCTTGGTGACTTCTCTAAGAACTTTATCCTCAAGGCACAAGATAACTGCAGTCTTGGCCTTATCCAACATCTCAGTCTTCTGTACCTGTCGAACCTGAGATCGCCTATTGGCTAGGTTCTTCCAATAGATCATTGCCGAACCTGTGATCGCCCGTATGCTAGGTTCTTCCTTAGATCACCGTCGAGCCTGAGATCGCCTCTTAGTTAGGTTCTTCCTTAGATCATCGTCGAA